AACCTCAAAATCGCCTTAAAAACGCGGGAAGAAAAAGTGGCGGGAAACACACCCCCGCCGCCGGACCCCAAAACCGCCCCTATGACCCCCGCGCGCAAGACCCAAAATCCCTCACGCGGCCGTTCCCTTCCGCGGGCGCCATTTGTGACGGAGTATCGGCCGCGTCACAGCAAGATGGGGAGCGTTTCCTCGGCCATCGGAATATTCAAAAAAGAAATCAATCGTAGGCTCTGAAGCGATTTTAAACTCGGTAAGAATGTCACAGTTCCTTCCAGCTCCAAGTCCTCTCGCATCTCCGATATGACATCCTGTCCATTGGGAGTCCTGTCAAGAGACCCGGATGTCCAGCGTAACGGATGGAAGTGATCGGCGGTTTTGCTGTATTTTTGCGTTATTTGTGTTTTTCTTTTTTTCATGTTTGTTTTTTTATGTTTCTTGTCTGTTGGTTTCTTATTTGATTTTTTTTTGGGGGGATAGGTGAAATATATTCTGTGTGACTTTTGTTATAAAAGAAGGGAGAGAGAGAGAGAGAGAGAGAGAGAGAGAGAGAGAGAGAGAGAGAGAGAGAGAGAGAGAGAGAGAGAGAGAGAGAGAGAAGAGAGAGAGAGAGAGAGAGAAGAGAAGAGAGAGAGAGAGAGAGAAAGAGAGAGAGAGAGACAGAGAGAAAGACAGACAGAGAGAGAGATAGGGAGAGAAAGAGAGAAAGAAGTAGATAGACAGAGACAAAAAAAAACGAATAAATACAAACAGAAACGAATAATAAAAAACGAAACAAAAATAAAAAACGAGATACTCATCCACAAAATCAGACAAAACCACAAGACAGACAAACAAACAGACAGACAGACAATCAGACAGAGAATGACTTTTTAGTCCCCTCTCTCACCCGCTTCAGGTCCTCAGTCCCAGAGTTCTTAATCTCTCAGCGCCGTCTTATTTTTCCCCTTATTTCCGCCCTGACGTAGGCCTGTGTTAAAACCACTCACCTTTTCTCCTTCAGGTTTTCATCTGTCTCCTCTTCGTAATCTTCTTTTTCTTCCCTAATTCTCCGGTATTGATTTTCCCCTTATCTTGCCTTTTTCCCTCACTTTTTCTCTTTCTCCTCTCCTTTGTTTATCCTTCTGAAATTCGTTTCTTTTTTTTATTATCGTTATTATTATTGTTATTATTATCATCATTATTATTATCATATATATTTTCTTTATCAAACATGCATTTCTTCTTATATTTATATTTCGTATCTGTCTTTTCCTTTTTCACTTTGTCTCTCATTTCCACTTATTATCTTGCCTTCCACCTCCCCCCCCTTCCCTTTTTTTCTCCTCTCTCTCTCTCCTCGCATTCATTTTTGTTTATTCCCTCTCTCCTCCTCTTCCTCCTCCTTCCCTTTCAATTCCCCTCTTTTTATATTTGTTCTCCTATCTTCTTTTCTAATTTTCTTTCCCCCCTTTCCACCTATTCCGTCTCTCCCCTCAACCCCCTCCCCCCCCTTCCCCTCTCCTCTCCTCTCCTCTCCATTCCCTAGAAACGCCATATGTAGGACAGAGGGGAAAGAGTTGACATAATAGTGGTGGTTGCCATGCCTTGGGTGATGTGAGGGGAAGGACTGAGGGTAGAGGGGCGCAGAGGGTAGTTATTGCCGAGGGGAAGAGAGGGGAGAGGTGGAGAGGAGAGGGAAAAGGTGGAGAGGAGAGAAGGAGAGGGGAGAGGTGGAGAGGAGAGGGAAAAGGTGGAGAGAAGGAGAGGTGGAGAGGATAGGGAGGGAAGGGGAAAAGGGAGAGGTGGAGAGAAGAGGGGAGAGGTGGAGGGAAGAGGGGAGAGGTGGAGAGGAAAGGGGATAACGTGGGGAGGAGAAGTTTGGTGGGGAAGTGAGGGGAGTTGGGACACAAGGAACAAGTGGGGAGGTAGAGAGGGGAGATAGGGAGGAAAGGCTAAGTGGGGAGAAAAGGGGACAAGATGGAAAGCCAAGAAGAGGGGAAATGGAGAATAAACGAATAAACATAGGGATTGGAAGAATATAGAAGGAGAGGGGAGATAAGGCAAAGAATAGAGAGGAGAGAGAACAAGTGAGATTTTTTTTAGAGGGGTGGGAGGGAGAGAAGAAGAAGTAGGGAGGGGAGGAAGCAGGTGGGGGGAGTAGAGGGGAAGGGACAAGTAGGATAAAGAGGGGAGATGACAAGGGGAAAGAGGTGGGGAAGGAAAAGGGACAGGTGGGTGGGTTTAGGGATAAGGAGGCTGAAGAGGGGAAAGGGAGAGAAAAAAAATATATGGGACATGTTTTTTTTTTATTTGATAGAAAAAAAAAGATAATAATAATAATTCAATAACAAACAGTCTTATCTTATATATCAACGTAAATAAAGTATTTCTCTAGAACCACACTGAATTTCCATATTTTTTTTTCTTTTGTCACATATCAACTGAAAATTAAAAAAAAAAAAAAAAAAAAAAAATCTAACTACTGAATGACCACAACAACGAATATTAAAAATCTTCTTATATCACATTTAATCCCCACGTCTACCATTTCCATAAAAGCGGATTAAATGATCAATACACCAGACACTCTCACCCCCCCCCCCTAAATTAATAAAAGTGTTAATATTCATAAAAAGAAAAAGAAGAATTATAGAAATAGTAATAATGTTGATGATGGTGATGATGATAATAATGATAATGATAAAAATATCAATAATAATAATAATGATAATAACAGTAATAATAATACTAATATTGGTAACAATAATGATAACAATAATAACTATGATAATGAAAATTACAATAAAGACAATAATGCTAATAGCAATAATATTAATGACTATGATGATTATAACAATAAAGGTAATAATAGCAATAATAATAATAATAATACCAATAATGATAGTAATAATAATAATAATAATACCAATAATGATAGTAATAATAATAATAGTTACAATAATAATGATAGTAATAATAATAATAATAATATATTAATAATAATGATGATAATGATAATAATGATAATGATAACAATAATAACAATAATAGTAATAATAATAACAATGATAATAATAAGAAGAATGATGGTGACGATAATAATAATAATAATATTGATGATGATGATAATAATAATGATAATAATAGTAATGATAATAACAATAATTATTATTATCATAATAATAGTAATAGTGATAATAATAATAACAATAATAATAATAATGATAATAATAATGTTAATAATAATAATGATAATGATAACAATAGGAATAATGATAATAACAATAATAATAATGGTAATAATAATAATAATGATAATTAATAATAATAGTAATGATGATGATAATAATATTAATAATAACAATGACAATAATAATAATGATAATAGTAATAATGATAATAATATTAATTATAACAATAATAACAATAATAATAATAATAATAATAATAAAGCAAAATCAGATTCACGAATACCTTTATCCTCAGCTGATTCAAGGAGTCCAACAGAAGGCAAAAGGGACCAGGAAATCAGCTTAGGGAAGGTACAAAGAAAATCCTCTCTACTACTCTCTTTTCCCTCTATTTTCCCCTCTCTCTCTTTTCCCCCTGCCTTCTTTTCCCCCCTCTCTTTTCCCCTCACTTTTCTTTTTTCTTCTCCTCCTCTTCTTTTCCCTCCTCTATCTTTACCTTTCTTTTTCCTCTCTTTTTCCCTCCCACTTCTTTTTCCCCTCTTTCCATTCCCCTTCTCTTCCCCTACCTCCACTTTCCTCTCCCTCCCCCCCCCCTTTTCCTCCCTTTTTCCCTCTCCCTTTAAAACCCTCTCCTTCTCTCTTCCTTTTCCTTTTATTGTCTTTCCTCTTTCGCTTTCTGTGGCTATTTCATTATACTCTTTACCTTCATTTATTCCATTTTCTCTTTCATTTCTATCCTATGTCACTCTCTTTACTCTTTCGTCCTCTTCCTCCCTACTTCTTTTCTCCCTCCCCCCTCTCCCCTTACCATGGATTTCTTCCCTCCCCTTCATTCACCCCTCCACCCTCTATACCCACCCCTCCCCCCTTCTCCCTCCTACCCTCCTATTTACCCCTCCCTCTCCCCTCTTCCTCACCTCTTCCCCTCATCCTCTCTACCCCCTCTTGCCCTACCCTCTCTTCCCTCCCTTCCCTCCTACCCTACCCTCCCTTTCCCTCATCCTCCCACCCCTTTCCCCCTCCTTCCCCTTCCCTCACCCTCCCACCCCTCTCCACCTCCTCCCCCTCTCCCTTCCTCCCCCTTCTACCCTCATCCTCCCACCCCTCTCCCTCCTCCCCTCTCACGACTCGCAAGCAAAACTCGCCCTTATCAGTAGCACAATGATGGGCATCTAGGGAGCCACGTGTTGAAGTGTCCTTGTCTTGCGTCATTCACTAGGATATTGGGCTTAGCGACTGGAGGAGGAGGAGGAAGGGGAGGGAGGGAGGGAAGGGGGAGAGGAGAGAGGGGGGGAGATGGGAAGGAAGGGAGGGAGGTGGGGAGGGAGGGAGGGAGGTGGGAGACAGGGAAGGGGGGAGGGAGGGGGGGAGATAGGGAAGGGAGATGGGGGAAGGGAGAGGGAGGGAGGGAGGGGGTGTTGTAGGAGTAAGGGTGTAGGGGGAGGGTATAAGGGTGAAGGGGGAGAGGGGAAGGGGGAGAAGGGGAGTGTATAGATGAGGCGGGGTGAGATCGTAGTGGTGTGGGTGGGAGGGGGGAAGGTAGGGAAGAGGGGAAGAGGGGGAGGTTGCAGGGTGACAGGGTACGGGAAGGTTGTGTGAATAAGAGGTAGGGGGGGTGGGGAGATAGGCAGGGAAGAGGGGAAAGGTGGAGTTTGTAAGGGTTTTGGGGTCAGGAGACGACCCCGAAATCTGATATCCGCTGATGGGCCCCTAATGAGCCCGAAATCTCTGATGGGCCTGCAATCTGATGGCCCAGATGATGCCACTGCATTTCCTCCCCCCTCCCCCCTCCCCCTTCACCCCCCCCCCACTCTCTCACCCTCGCCCCCCTTCGCTTCTACTCTACCCCTACTACTCCGCCCTTTCCAAAAAAAATAATATAAAATAAAGTAAAAACAATAAAAAATCCGCTATAGTCGCGCCATCATTGTTAGTCTTCGCGCGCGTCTTTGTCCCCGCTCTCTCTAAAAAAGAAATGTCCCAAAACCCACAACATTGCAAAGAAAACCCTCGCCATTGCATCCAAAATTCAACAAGAGCCAGACTATTAATGATTCAACGACGCATCCGCTCCGTTTATTACGGCTGAGACCAACTAATAGCTGTGACGCGGAGGGCAGTTGGTCGCGGGGACGACGGGATGAGGATGAGGAGGACCAGAAGGATGCTGAGCGATCTCCGGGATGAGAGATGCGG